TAATAATCATTTCATTTGCTATTTTCGTATTATTTTAGTGGTTAAATTGTGATATAAGAAATATCGAATACTATGTCAAGAGTTCTAGTGTGAAATAATCTTGCTGTTAACTACGTAGGTAAGGTACGCTCTGTATAAAGGCCTGTGTATGGCTGATCACTGTCATGATTCTTGTCATTGTTATAACACTTATCTGTCTCAATATGTATTGGTTGACGCCCTGTAAGAAGGATTTTGACAACATTGTCACATTTGCGAACTATAAGTTTTCAGAGATTTGTTGGCGAGAAAAAGTTTTTAAAAGATGGAAGTTGACCCAGGAGGATCAACAGACGATGCAGTTCCACATAGTATGAGGAAAAAGGTGAGCGGTGGCGGAAACCGAGCAGAATCAGAAAACATGAGCTCACTGACGCAGATGTCATCGGAGCAGAAAACGAACGAAAAACTGATGCTGATTATAGACGACCAGGCGAGGCAGATTCGAGACCTAATGGAGACCATCAAGGACCAGGCAGCCAAAATTGACAGCCTGACCGCCCAGGTAACCATATTACTAAATTCAAAAGAATCCCCTAAAGAACAGACAAAGACCCTAAAAAGACCACTGAGAAACGTTACTGATGATCATCTCACATCCACGGACGAAGACGTACAGATCAACGGATTTGTGAAAGCAAAATCAAGAAGGAGGAAAGGCAACAAGGCTGATCGATCAACCCAAGACTTTCCTCCTCTTCCGAATACAGGATCAATTCCATTTCACACCTCCCCCAATTCATCAAATCGAACCACTATTAATGCTTCTACTACCAAGCCAGGGACCACGTTATCTACCTGTCAGGTGACTCCGTCAGCCGATGTTACTTCTCCTCCGTCATCTCGTCCAACCGTCGTGGCATCAACACAACCCTCACGGCAAGGGCGTATAACCCCGATCGGCTTATTTCCCTAGGTATTAAAATAGATCGCGCGGTTGCCGTTGATGCGGGAATAAGGATTATTCCTAAATCCGAGGACGACTACCGTAAGATCGTTCGCCTATTCCGACAGGAAGAAGTGCCCCATCACACTTTTCCTCTCCCTTCGGAACGGAACATCCATGCCGTGATTCGAGGAGTTCCCGTCAACTTTTCAGATACTGAGATTAAGGGAGAACTGGAGCAGAGGGGATATAGCCCTCTTCACATCATTCGATTGAAGCGCAGCGACGGCGCGCCCATGCCTTTGGTGGTCGTGATACTGCCCAAGACTGAAAAGTCTCAGCAAGTGTTCAACGAACACGAACTGCTGGGACTGGCCATTCGAGTTGAGGTTCAGAAAAACTCCAGACTCATTGGGCAGTGTCACCGCTGCCAAAAGTATGGGCATGCCCAAATGCTTAAAATGTGCAAAGGACCACATGACGCATTTGTGCCCCCTCAAAGAAGAGGAAGAACGCAAGTGCGCGAACTGTGGAGAGGGACATCCCGCAAATAGCCGGACTTGCAAATTCACTCCAAGGAGGAACTTGCAAGTTATAGCGCAAAGGCGCAATATATCTTACGCGGACGCAGCTCGGGAGGCAACCTTGCCTGCCCCCTCTGCCCAACCTCCCTTGAGCACGCAAAATGTGGACCTGGCCACCGCGCTAAGGTCCTTACAACAAATAATAAGCCCACTGATTAGCGCTACCCAAGCGTTGCAGGCGATATTTCCTGTAAATGTCTAGGTACAATAGTAGACAGCCTGCATTCATCAAAATTCTTTTTTGGAATTGTTTGGGCATGAGGGATATTCCCAAAAAACGGGAATTTCATCAAGCTCTTTTGGATGAAGGTATAGATGTGCCCTTGCTGCAGGAAACGTTGCTTAATCCGGGAGATCGTTTAGCTCTCCCGAATTATGATATTATCCGAGGTGACAGATTGAATGGTCGAGGCGGCGGTTTAGCAGTGTTGATTAAGCGCGGTATAGACTATTCTAGAAGCACTAATGCGGAGATGCATAGCATCGAAGCAGCTTCTGTGGTGGTCAATATGGCGGGAGGTGTCTCGTTGAAGATCACATCGGTGTATGTCATGTGTGGTGCCAGGCTACAAGAGGCGGATCTGGAGGTCCTTTTGGACTACTCGGGTCCGCTTATTGTGGCAGGGACTTCAACTGCAAACATCGAGCATGGAATTCTAGGTTGAATTCCACTAGTGGGGTTCGATTGTACAATCATGTGATGCGAAATGGATACCTTATACATAGCACTGAAGAGCCGACACATCATCCATTCAACCATCTTCAGACACCAGATGTCATCGATTTCGCGATATCTAAAAACTGTAGATACAGTATCTCTTCTCGAATCTTGTATGATAACTCTAGTGACCATCTACCTGTTGTCTTGGATGTGGGCAATGAGCAAACTTCTGAGGAGGCAGCTCCTCCAAGGAAACACATTGATTGGGACCTATACAAGTTGCTCCTTAGAGAGTTTCCCAATATCCCGATTATAGATGATGAGTCTGGAATAGATGCCGCTCAAGCGGAGTGGACAAGTTTCATTCAAGCAGCTCTACAGCGTGTAGCTGTGTTTCCTGTACAACGACACGGCAGACTTTTTTTGCCTGCGGACATTCGTCAGAAAATCTATGACAAAAGAGCCGCTATTAATCAGGCAAAAAGGTCTTGTCATCCTGATGACATTCGTAGGGCTACAAATCTTGTCCATGAAGTGAGAAACGCACGAACTCCGCAACGAGCACTGGAGCGACTTTCTGGCGGAAATGCTTGATTCAAGTATTCCTCTCTGGAGGGTCGCAAAGTCACTCAGAAACGGAAAGCGAGAACAACTCCCACACATCCACGATCCTGAAGGCATAGTCTTCAGAACGGAGGATAAGGTCGAGGTTTTCGCTGATGCCATGGAAAAACAGTTCTCTCCCAACTATGATCTCGATAATGACCTCGACGAGGAACAGCACATTGTACGATCCGTCAGGAGATATTTTAGAGCCAACGGCGTTAGCGGAGGCACTGAATCCTCTTCAGATGACTCTTCTTCACAAGATTCGTCTGAGGCTCCACATAGCACATTAGCGGAACCCTCCGAGTTTCCACATTGCACACCAGCGGAGTTACTAGGTCATATTAAAGACCTCAAGGTGCGTAAAGCACCTGGGGAGGATCAAATCACCAACAAGGCGTTGAAGCTGCTCTCGTCGAAAGCCCTGACATACTTGGTGACAATAATCAATGCGACGCTCAACATCTAGTACTTCCCTGCTGGGTGGAAGACTGCTGAGGTGATCATGATTCCAAAGAAGGTGGGTTCGATATTTCCTCAGGATTACCGTCCCATAAGTCTGCTGTCAGCTCCGTCTAAGCTAAGTCACCATGTGATTCCTGACGTCCAATTCGGTTTTCGGTCCGAGCATAGCACCGAGCTACAGGCAGTCAGGCTGGTGGACCATGTAACCAGAGGGTTCACCCGCAGCATGAGTACTGGCATCTTGCTTTTGGATGTCTCAAAAGCCTTTGACAAGGTGTGACACTGCACTTGTCGCCCAGTCGTGTACTGGTGATCTGGTTCACGATGGGTTGCAGAATGCGGTGGACGACGTTCTAGAGTGGGCGGAACAGTGGCTGATAAAAATTAATCATTCGAAAACGCAGGCTATTTATTGTACCAAAAAACGTCGCGGCCCTCCAGCAGAGGTTTCTGTAGACGGAAATCGTGTACCATGGACAAATTCTGCCAAGTACCTCTGTGTCACCCTTGATAAAGGCATGACCTGGCAGAAACATACAGCATCCATAAAAACAAAATTCTAAATTGCGTTTCGGCAACTATATCCTTTGTTATGTAGATCCTCCAAATTGAGTTTGATAAACAAAGTTCGACTATATAAAATGATTATTAGACCAGCCATTACTTATGCATGTGCGGCTTGGTGTTTTCTTGCCAAGACACACATGCAAAGTCTTCAAGTACTGCAAAGCAGAACCTTGCGGACAATTTGCAACGCTCCATGGCATGTCTCAAATGAGACACTACACAGAGACCTTGACATTCCTTACTTGAGGGATTATGTCAAGCTTCAGGCGCGGCGACGTTATAGTCATGCGGAATCGCACCGCAACCCTCTGTTGCGTGACTCAGTGGACTACACAGTGGAGCAAGTTCGTAAACATTCGGCCACGGCTCGCACTGTAATCAAAAGTTATCGTGAATCTTTAGTAAACTCAAAATTAAACTCTAACAAAACCGAATCAAACAAATTTGTTTAGTTCACCTCAAAATTAATCTGTGTACCAAGTCAGAAAGCCTAGGTGTTTCCTCTTAAACTAAGCATATCTGTTTTTCTTTGTTCTTCTCCTTTTTTCTTCTCTTTCCCTTTCTCGTTTTCCTTGACTTTGTCTGGTTTCTGGGCAACCAGGACTGACAGATTCGACTAACGTACATCAGACAGTGACTAATGGGCAAAGGTCCTACGGACCGCCCAGACAAATAAATGACGAATAGTATGTATTGGTTCAAACTAGGTAGCACTGAAGATCTACTAATTTTACTTCTGTTATTTATTGCTTCTTGAGAACCCCTTAGCTTAAGTTCATTGTTTGGGGGTTATATGATAAGGTTGTCATTAACATTATCGTCGAAAATCTTCCCTTACGGAAGATTTCCTTCTTCCGAAGCAGAGGGGGGTTGTAACAGTTGCCTTTTATTGCCGATAATCTAATCTAATAATCTCCGTAGCATATTATTTTTATTCATAGTATATTATTAAATCAATTTTATTGACAAAAATGGCTAGACCGGCCCATTGGCCATTTCCCAAGATAGGGCTTGTTTTTAACAGTGTATTTAGCTATATTTTTCTCACGTAATTCATAACCAAAATAAGACGCAGGCATTTACCTATTATCATGTTTATTTGAAATAACAAACATAACACATGAATACCACGGAATAACTATAATTTTTAATTTGCATCCGTTGTTAGGTAATTAATTGAATAATTTACTCACCCTGGTATGTGTTGCCTAGTAATTTCCCTGGTTCACCATGAGTAATAATTTTAGTATTCATCTCCACATATTTTCATAAATAACTCGGTTGCTTCCATCCCATGCTAGATCTTCCACCGTCAAGAAATCAATTCAATCTCGAAATTTTCGCCTCGGGGATTTGTTTACATCCCAACAACAATCCGGTTTGTCACTCCAAAGCTAAAAATAAATAAATAAATAAATAAATGTACATCTATAAATTGATATCACCTTCTGAATTAAAAACTATTTGTGTTGCATAAATATTATTACTCACCTATTGAACTATGTATTTCTTTTACAGTCAGATGCATTTATTTTTGTTTTCTGAAATCTTCCAATGTCAAAGGCTGATGTCGCTGATGTCGAGGTACTATTCTGCGTATCGAACTACTTGCACACCTCGCTTGTTCCGCATAGTTGACAATTTTATTTCAGAATTTCCGTATGTTTATTAATCAATCAAATTTATATGCAGATATGACAGTGTTGATATTTCCTTGTTCTGTTCCGCTAGTGCGAGAAGACCTGAAATTTTCCTCCTTTTCTGCCTGGGGCATCTTCGTTGGATTGTGGAAGAAAATTTCATAGATAATTTCCTGGGTCATTCCTGTTGTGAGTGCGTAGCATCTTTTTTTTTGTCTACCCTTGGACCGGAGAAATTTTACAATTTGTAGGATCTTATTGTCTTCAGCCGCACTTTTCGCCAGACCGAACTACGTGAAAAACCCTACCCGATATCATCTAGGTGAGCATTATTTTATTTTAAGTAAATGTAAATTTAGGCAAAAGACCATATTTCTCATATATATGTTTTCTCAAAAGTAAATAATTATTCTTGTTCTAAAATGGAGTTAACTTAGTATTCTGTGTAGCATGCGTTGGTTTCATGATATTTTCCGAGTAACTCAAAGTGTAATTTGAAATCTGTTATACCGGGTGGTCCAAAAATCATAATTGAATTATCTAAAATATTTAATTTCTATTCGCGTATAATTAATATTCAATATTTGAAGATTACTTTTCCAATTACGCTAATTGTTGTTAACTAAATTTGTATTTCTTTTTACTGTTACATTCGATCGCCTGAATACTATTATTCTTCCTAGGGTTTTTATTTTGGGGGAATCTTCGCTACTGGAGACCCATTGACACGTTTTCTCCCGGGTACCTATTTCCGAACAGATACACTTTTTCCACCATAGGGATTCTTAAAAGCTTTTCATAATAACCACTCTCCGGTGTACCTGAACATAGGGCCTAATTTGCCAACGCTAAACCACGGCTTTAGCCTCAGTAACCCCCTAGTTTTTTTTTTAATCATCCATTGTCTCAATTGAGAAAATTAAAAAGTGATTTTAATTAATTAAAAAAAAGAGCGTGGCAAATTTTTGGCGCCCAACATGCCACATGATATTTTAACTGTCCAGTGTGTACTTGTACGGATAAGCGTTTCTAAGATGGCTGAAGCAGTTGTGAACAACGATGAACATGCTGCATATTTCGAGGATGTAGTAGCCAGACTCACTGATGCTTTTCCAAAATTAAGTCTCAAGGTAATACGGAAGGTTGTGGCTAGTTGCCGTAGGGACATTGTTCAGATGGTCATACAGTTGACAGCAACTGAGGTCGATGAGCAGCGCAAAGCGGAAATTATAGAATCAAGAGCACTTATGCCTGAAACAGAAGAAGCTTCAACTACAGCAGTACATCAAAAACGAGGTACTTCGATAAAGTCACAAGTGAAGAAATACACCAGTGGTTTCAAGATAGAGGAGTTCTTGGCAATGTTTCCGAATCCAGAAGAGACATTCTGCAATCCGGAGCGAGGGGAAGACGTTCTTGATATGACAACCGTAGCTTATGTTGAAAGTTTCTTCATGAATAAGTACCCATCCATCTACAAGAGCCACATTTCGTTTTTGCTATATCAGGGATCTACGAGGCAACCAAAGTGCATAAGTCTACTTAAGATGGATGAGGAGTTGCAGAAGGTAGAGCAAAAAGGTGAGCAAGTTATGAAGTGCCGTCGAAAACCAACAACTATGAGGATTGATCCAGGCGAAGACATTCGACTTTTACAAGAGCTTGCTTACTTGGAGCACAGAACAGATATTTTAGATTATAAGCTGAAAAAACAACAGGAAGAAACCGATAGGAGAAAATTTGCAAAAGAAAACGGTCTTACAGTTTCGTGTCAATGCTGCTTCGTGGACGACCTATTGCCTGAAGAAGTGTATTCATGTACCAACGATTTTTGTTTTTGTGGGGAATGCATCAGAAAGAGCTGCGAAATGAAACTTGGTGAGAGAGACATTCAGTTTCCGTGTTTGGCGGCCTGTAGGTCGCAATTTGCGTGGAAAACGCTGCAGGCGGCGCTTCCACCTACACTATTTTCGATACTATCACAGCGTTGCACGGAATCTGAGATAAGGGCGGCAGGACTTAAAGTTGACAGTTGTCCATTATGTAATTTCACCAACACCATCGATGAGCTATATACGTTGTTCCAGTGTTTTAACCCCAAATGTATGAAGGAGACATAGGTTATGCAAAGAGCTCAACCACCTTCCGTTGCAATGCGATGAGGTTGAGAAGGACGAAGATGTCAAGGCACGCGTCCACGTTGAAAATAAGATGACCGATGCAATATTGAGGTATGTAATGTACGACGTATTCTGGATATTCTTGGCCGTATCAGCTAGCAGTTATGATACCTATTCGTCTATGCCTTCCAGAACATGCTACAAATGTCAGAGAAAGTTTATCAAGGAGGAGGACGGCTGCACCAAGATAACGTGCATATGTGGTGCGCTGTCATGTTATGTCTGCAAAAAGCCAGTGATAGGGTATGATCACGTTAATGGACTTGGAGGCAGTCAGTATGAGAAGTGCCCGCTGTATGTCGACATGATAGCATTGCAACAAAGTGAACTTACTGCGGCAGCTGATGAAGCGAAGAAGCAAGTTGATCCCAACAGGTTGAAGTTTGATCCGTCAATTGATCTTGACAAATACTTTAACATAAACGATAGACTGCCGTGCAACCAAGATGGATGCAGGTACTGCAAGAAATAAATCATCCCATAGAGCCCCAAAGAGAACTAAATGGGATTGTCAATGTACAGGAACCAATACCACCTCCAAAAAGACGACTTGGTGTTGAAAGGCACTCTTTAGCCCAAAAACGCCAAGAAACAAAAACAAAAATACATACAAACAATAAATTTTCTGTGTGGGTAAATAATTGCTAAAATTCATCATCATCATTTTATTACATTACAAAGAAATATTTGAAGATTACCTTTCCAATTACGCTAATTGATGTTAACTAAATTTGTATTTTTTTTACTGTTACATTCGATCGGCTGAATACTATTATTCTTCCTAGGGTTTTTATTTTGGGGGAATCTTCGCTGCTGGAGATCCAATGACACGTTTTCTACCGGGGACCCCTTTCCGAACAGAGACACTTTTTCCACCATAGGGATTCTTACGTCATCGGTTTTGAAGCCGTCCTCGCCCATTTTAAATTAGTTAGTCAATAAGCTTTCGCATTAAGGGAGATCTCCTAGTTCGGCCGGCTTAAATTTTTGTTGTTAGCAGTTAGTAGATGTAATAAAATGTATTGATGTTAATTTTAGCAATTATTTACCCACACAGAAAATCTATTGTTTGTATGTATTTTTGTTTTTGTTTCTTGGCGTTTTGGGCTAAAGAGTGCCTTTCAACACCAAGGCGTCTTCCAGTTTTGGCGGATAAAAGCTGGTGGCGCCCCTAAAAAAAAACCCCCCTACTCTCCGGTTTACCTGAGCATAGGGCCTAATTTGCCAACGCTAAACCATGGCTTTAGCCTCAGTAACCCCCTAGTTTTTTTTAATCATCCATTGCCTCAATTGAGAAAATTAAGTGATTTTAATTAATTAAAAAAGGTACATCCAGGAGTTGACGAACACGTCGTGGCGCTTGCGGTTGATCTCGATTTATATATGGCGTTGCCCGGCGAGGTATTCTTATGTTTTGAACTGCTGGTACGTTCAAGTGTTCTTGAGCAGCCCTAGGCTCGTCCCGCTGTTGTTGAGCAGGTAACATCGTTCGTCGTTGTCTTGGTACATCGGGTTCTCTTGGATTTGGAGGTGGTATTGGTTCCTGTACATTGACAATCCCATTTAGTTCTCTTTGGGGCTCTATGGGATGATTTATTTCTTGCAGTACCTGCATCCATCTTGGTTGCACGGCAGTCTGTCGTTTATGTTAAAGTATTTGTCAAGATCAATTGACGGATCAAACTTCAACCTGTTGGGATCAACTTGCTTCTTCGCTTCATCAGCTGCCGCAGTAAGTTCACTTTGTTGCAATGCTATCATGTCGACATACAGCGGGCACTTCTCATACTGACTGCCTCCAAGTCCATTAACGTGATCATACCCTGTCACTGGCTTATTGCAGACATAACATGACAGCGCACCACATATGCACGTTATCTTGTTGCAGCCGTCCTCCTCCTTGATAAACTTTCTCTGACATTTGTAGCATGTTCTGGAAGGCATAGAAGAATAGGTATCATAACTGCTAGCTGATACGGCCAAGAATATCCAGAATACGTCGTACATTACATACCTCAATATTGCATCGGTTATCTTATTTTCAACGTGGACACGTGCTTTGACATCTTCGTCCTTCTCAACCTCATCGCATTGCAACGGAAGGTGGTTGAGCTCTTTGCATAACCTACATGTCTCCTTCATACATTTGGGGTTAAAACACTGGAACAACGTATATCGCTCATCGATGGTGTTGGTGAAATTACAGAATGGACAACTGTCAACTTTAAGTCCTGCCGCCCTTATCTCAGATTCCGTGCAACGCTGTGATAGTGTCGAAAATAGTGTAGGTGGAAGCGCCGCCTGCAGCGTTTTCCACGCAAATTGCGACCCACAGGCCGCCAAACACGGAAACTGAATGTCTTTCTCACCAAATTTCATTTCGCAGCTCTTTCTGATGCATTCCCCACAAAAACAATAATCGTTGGTACATGAATACACTTCTTCAGGCAATAGGTCGTCCACGAAGCAGCATTGACACGAAACTGTAAGACCGTTTTCTTTTGCAAATTTTCTCCTATCGGTTTCTTCCTGTTGTTTTTTCAGCTTATAATCTAAAATATCTATTCTGTGCTCCAAGTAAGCAAGCTCTTGTAAAAGTCGAATGTCTTCGCCTGGATCAACCCTCATAGTTGTTGGTTTTCGACGGCACTTCATAACTTGCTCACCTTTTTGCTCTGCCTTCTGCAACTCCTCATCCATCTTAAGTAGACTTATGCACTTTGGTTGCCTCGTAGATCCCTGATATAGCAAAAACGAAATGTGGGTCTTGTAGATGGATGGGTACTTATTCATGAAGAAACATTCAACATAAGCTACGGTTGTCATATCAAGAACGTCCTCCCCTCGCTCCGGATTGCGGAATGTCTCTTCTGGATTCGGAAACATTGCCAAGAACTCCTCTATCTTGACACCACTGGTGTATTTCTTCACTTGTGACTTTATCGAAGTACCTCGTTTTTGATGTACTGCTGTAGTTGAAGCTTCTTCTGTTTCAGGCATAAGTGCTCTTGATTCTATAATTTCCGCTTTGCGCTGCTCATCGACCTCAATTGCTGTCAACTGTATGACCATCTGAACAATGTCCCTACGGCAACTAGCCACAACCTTCCGTATTACCTTGAGACTTAATTTTGGAAAAGCATCAGTGAGTCTGGCTACTACATCCTCGAAATATGCAGCATGTTCATCGTTGTTCACAACTGCTTCAGCCATCTTAGAAACGCTTATCCGTACACGTACACACTGGACAGTTAAAATATCATGTGGCATGTTGGGCGCCAAAAATTTGCCACGCTCTTTTTTTTAATTAATTAAAATCACTTTTTAATTTTCTCAATTGAGGCAATGGATGATTTAAAAAAAACTAGGGGGTTACTGAGGCTAAAGCCGTGGTTTAGCGTTGGAAATTAGGCCCTATGTTCAGGTACACCGGAGAGTAGGGGGGTATTTTTTAGGGGCGCCACCAGCTTTTATCCGCCAAAACTGGAAGACGCCTTGGTGTTGAAAGGCACTCTTTAGCCCAAAACTCCAAGAAACAAAAACAAAAATACATACAAACAATAGATTTTCTGTGTGGGTAAATAATTGCTAAAATTAACATCAATACATTTTGTTACATCTACTAACGGCCAGCAACAAAAATTTAAGCCAGCCAAACTAGGAGATCTCCCTTAATGCGAAAGCTTATTGACTAACTAATTTAAAATGGGCGAGGAAGGCTTCAAAACCGATGACGTAAGAATCCCTATGGTGGAAAAAGTGTCTCTGTTCGGTCCCCGGTAGAAAACGTGTCAATGGATCTCCAGTAGCGGAGATTCCCCCAAAATAAAAACCCTAGGAAGAATAATAGTATTCAGGCGATCGAATGTAACAGTAAAAAAAATACAAATTTAGTTATCAACAATTAGCGTAATTGGAAAAGTAATCTTCAAATATTGAATATTAATTATACGCGAATAGAAATTAAATATTTTAGATAACTCAATTTGATTTTTGGACCACCCGGTATAACAGATTTCAAATTACACTTTGAGTTACTCGGAAAATATCATGAAACCAACGCATGCTACACAGAATACTAAGTTAACTCCATTTTAGAACAAGATTAATTATTTACTTTTGAGAAAACATATATATGAGAAATATGGTCTTTTGTCTAAATTTACATTTACTTAAAATAAAATAATGCTCACCTAGATGATATCGGGTAGGGTTTTTCACGTGGTTCCATCTGGCGAAAAGTGCGGCTGAAGACAATAAGATCCTACAAATTGTAGAATTTCTCGGGTCCTAGGGTAGACAAAAAAAAAAGATGCTACGCCCTCACAACAGGAATGACCCAGGAAATTATCTATGAAATTTTCTTCCACAATCCAACGAAGATGCCCCAGGCAAAAAAGGAGGAAAATTTCAGGTCTTCTCGCACTAGCGGAACAGAACAAGATGGCCCTCCGATAGTGGAAGGAAGTCCCCTCCACAAATTTATTTTTTTTTCAACTTGACATTTCCAAATATGGTTGTACGCCTGACCATTAAGAGCCAAACGTTGTCGGCTAATCCCAAAATGAGAAGGTTCCTAATATAAATTCAAGGAAATATCGTGAATAAATGTGGCAACACTGTCATATCTGCATATAAATTTGATTGATTAATAAACATAAGGAAATTCTGAAATAAACTTGGCAACTATGCGGAACAATCGAGGTGCGCAGAATAGTACCTCGACATCAGCGACATCAGCGTTTGACATTGGAAGATTTCAGGAAACAATAATAAATTCATCTGACTATAAAAGAAATACATAGTTCAATAGGTGAGTAATAATATTTATGCAACACAAATAGTTTTTAATTCAGGTGATATCAATTTATAGATGTACATTTATTTATTTATTTATTTATTTTTAGCTCCGGAGTGACAAACCGGATTGTTGTTGGGATGTAAACAAATCCCCGAGGCGAAAATTTCGAGATTGAATTGATTTCTTGACGGTGGAAGATCTAGCATGGGATGGAAGCAACCGAGTTATTTATGAAAATATGTGGAGATGAATACTAAAATTATTACTCATGGTGAACCAGGGAAATTACTAGGCAACACAAGAAGAAATGGTAGAAACTGTAAAGATGATCAAAATGGAGTGCGATTGCTGTACGTTAAATTTAATAATTGAAATTTTTGGATTATAAAATAGATCAGGATCGATTATGTTTAATTGAGAAATATTTGGTTTCAGTTCCCAAATTGTTCCGTGACATGGAAGATGCTGACTACTATATACAGGCAGCCAAACGACTACAGAACAAAAACAACGGATACAAATTAAAAATTATAGTTATTCCGTGGTATTCATGTGTTATGTTTGTTATTTCAAATAAACATGATTATAGGTAAATGTCTGCGTCTTATTTATTTTGGTTATGAATTACGTGAGAAAAACATAGCTAAATACACTGTTAAAAACAAGCCCTATCTTGGGAAATGGCCAATGGGCCGGTCTAGTCATTTTTGCCAATAAAATTGATTTAATAATATACTATGAATAAAAATAATATGCTACGGAGATTATTAGATTAGATTATCGGCTTTTGTTTCTTTCTTCTCAAGTTCTTGCTGCATTACTTCAAATTAAACCTGTGCGACAACAACAACAACAACAAAAATATATGATTCATCGGCAATAAAAGGCAACTGTTACAAAGTTTATGAAAAGGATTAGCCAAAACCATAAAGATAAACATTTGAATTATTTGGGAAAATAAGCACCATGTAATACCCAACAAAAAAATAAATGACATTCGGTATTTTGTAAAATTCAACCCATGAGGTGAACTAAGGGGTGAGAATTTCCCACTTTACTAGTGATTAATTCCCACTTAATATTCATTTATAATGAATCATAAGAAGCGGAGACGTTGTGTGGTCGATCGTAAATTGTGCTCTGGTGCGAACCCTTCGCGCCTCGCACTTGCTTGGTTTCTATTATCTTCTTTTCGCGCCGGCTCTTAAAAAAGCCGATCGAGCATTATGTGAAATAGTGTTAAAAAGAGGATGAAAACGTAAGGTCTTTGTGTATTATCATTTAGAAACTATTTGTTTTTTAATGACAATATGAGAAAACCATTACTGCCATTATTGTTTTTGCACATTGAACAATTAATTGGTTAATGTAAGGTAAGTCGATCGCAGAAAAATATATAATGTTTACAAGAATACCGAAATCTATGTGCGTGGGAGCGCGAGTAGGAAGCTATTTCATTCTCATATTTTTTGACTGCTTCATGCATAGGGCGTCATTTTTTACAGTTTGTATACATGATGATTACATCAAAGCCCTTCATAATTGATAATTATCAGAATTTCTAAAATTAACACAAAAAGCGGGTGACTCAAAATTCTAAAACATTCCCGAATAACTTTTCTCGACATATGGCATCCAGTAGAGATATATATGCAAGTGTTCCGTCCAAATTTCGAAAGAATGTATACGTATATGGAAGACTGATCAGTAAACAAGCAGATTACCTCTTCAACCTGCATCTCGTCTGGTTTCAAGTCACGCAACCTCCGAATGAGCCCAAGCTGTCTACGTTAGCTGCTAATGAGTGCTGACATGGTCGCGCCAACGGCAAAAAACTCCCGTGAGGACAAGAAGATTAACAAAAAGAACCCTGGCATGTAACCTGTTCCACCTGTAGAATCTTATCGGATATGCATCTCTATACAGGGTGCAACAGAAACAATGTATAGATTCATCCCACGTATCAGTGTCTCTTCTCTTTGCTCTGTCCACTGTAAAGCAGTCACGCGATCATGCGATCAAATTATCTAAAAAAATGGGTAGTTGCATTATAACAAACTTGCAGCATGGCGTGGGTGTGGCTGAGGCAGCAGGTTGTTGTCGATGCTACTTGAGTACGAGGGTTTTTATTTATTTTATTTATTTATTTATTTATACATTATTGCCCAACAGAACTATTCCAATTAAAGGACAATATCATGGTAACTTTACTTATAATTCATACATGTAATTTATACCTAAAACTAATTTAAAAAATAGAACTAGCTATTATAATAGTACATGAAATTCGACACGATCTTACTGATACAATCAAAATTAATGTCAGAACTGTCTGCTATGGAATTATAATTGTTGCATATAGAATGTAGCGGAGAATAAAATAATACATTTGTACGGGAGGTATTGCAGTAGAAAGTTAGAGTTCTTCTCGTATTTAACCGTGGAATATAGAAATTTAACCTCTGGAGAAGTTCTGGTGCATCCACTCTGTCGTGCAAAAGCTTATGAAGGAATGATAGGCCAGCAGTGGAACGTCTTAACTGTAGAGACTCTAGTTCAAAACGACGCAGCAGAACAAATTGAGAGACCCCCCTTTCTGGATATGTGCCATCGATTTTATAAACACAGAATTTAAGAAATTTCCTCTGCACATTTTCTAAGATGCTTATACGTATATAATACGCATAGAAAGGGTTCCATATCAAACAGGCATACTCAAGTTTTGGTCGCACCAGTGAAATAAAAAGAGCTTTTAGTGCCGCTTCGTTGGAAAAAGATCGGCAGTTCCGCATTATGAAACCCAGAATCCGTGTCGCTTCGGAAGTGACGCGTGCTACATGGACAGAAAAGTCCAATCTACAGGAAAATGTTACACCAAGATCTTTAGTCTCTGTTGTTCTTTCCAAAACCGCATTATTTATGGAGTAATCAAACATAATCGGGTTCATTTTACGACAATATGAACATACTTTACATTTGGAAATACCACTGTCTGATGGTATGCAGATCGTCCTGAAGGGAAATACAGCTCTCCAAATTTGTAATTTTGGTGTAGATTTTCAGATCATCAGCAAATAGTAGACATTCACACTTTAGTGAAGCGACTAGGTTATTTATGAAGAATAAAAACAGCAAGGGACCTAGGTTTGAACCTTGCGGTACTCCAGAGGGAACAGTATAATTAATAGAATAACCATTATAGTAAACATATTGCGTCCTATTAGAAATATATGAGCTTAAAAGACCGACTAACGAGTCACTAAGGCCGAAATAATGAAGGCTATCCACAAGAAGATGATGGTTTAATTTATCGAAAGCCTTGCTGAAATCCATGTAAATAACATCGACTTGTTGTTTCTTGTCTAACGATTCTGCTATATACTGCGTAATTGTTATTGAATTTGACGTAGTGGATCTACCTTTGATGAAACCATGTTGTGATGGAGTAATTAGGCTTTTAACG